CTACCAAAAGGCAAAATCAAAACCGTCTAACTAATTAGTTTGTCGCATGTCATAAGTTAACTATTAGGGGTAATAGTATTTAATAGTACAATTCCTATTCACAGAGGGATGAAAACGACTCTAAACACTACTCCTACTCGCACTCAATCTTTTACTCGCTGTCAAGTACTGGTAGAACAAAAGAAAACCAAAAGAATTACCACAAAACAGTACAAAACGGTATTACTAATTTTTCACGCTTTTACTCAAAGCACTGTATGCAGCCAGTAGACTAGTGATTTACATGCTATTTAAGTAATGGTTCGAGTAAGAAGTGTGGAAGCAAACGGCAATGGAATGCAAGAAGGTGCTAATTGTGTATTGTATAATACATCCATCTCATTGGTTAAAACATTTTTTAAATTAATTTTTTTTTAAATCTGACATGATTTCACAAGTTAGCGCATTTATTAATATTTTATTTATTATCTGATCCCGACTTCATGAAAGCTTTCCTTAGCTTCTTGAAAACCAAGACATTCATAATTGGGGAATTTGCAATACCACAGAACAATTTAGAGTTCCCTAGTTCTTACTAGCATTGTTACTTAACAACATATGCTCTCTTTTTCAGTACATTGTTTTTTTAATGAAAGGTTTTTGAATTTTTTACGGAAGCAGCACAAACAGGTCAAGTTTCGAGAAATTCGTTGGAAGTGTGGCTGTTATAGGTGACAGTGACATATCGCAAATTTGCACATAAAAGTGCATTATTGAAACCGTAAATAGCGTTGCAAAATCGGAAAATCCACAACTGATCTAAATCTTGACAACAGCAACAAAAATGACAGCATTCTGAAAACCGACATCTTATATCAGCAGATCCTGTCTAGACATGCAGGGCCGTATTCAGGGGGGAAGGGTCATAGGGTGCCCGTGGCCCCCCTTTCAAAGCCAAAAAAGCGTGAAAACTCATAGATTGATATGACATTACGTTGACTTCATATGGCATCAAAGTGACAATTTGGTATGTAAGTACAAGAGAAATTGTCATGTTCTATTTGCGCTTGAGAATTTCAGTTTCTGACGATGTTTAGCGAGTTGTTTCTTTTCTTGTTCATTGAGTCTCTTTATAAATTCATTACCTACTAGTACACGATAAAAAAGCTACCAGTTCAATATCCAATCTWTAGACATGAATRCCAGCTTATCCATGAAACGGAATTTATCTGACAATCGTGTTTATTTGTGGCTTTAGCATTTTTTCGTACGGATTGTTGWCATTGCAGTTCTTGCAACGCTCGCATAAAATTATCTTGAGTTTGATACCATTACAAGATGCCAGTTTTAATAAAAAAGTCTATAAACATGAATTCCACCTTATTATCCATGAAACGGAGTCCATCCGACTATAAATGGTTTGATGTAATATTTGTGGCTTGGTGAATTTTTTCGCCGGTGTGATGAAAGGAGAGAGCTTGAAGTGGCGGCCCATCGAAGCGGTTTATCAAACATTAAAGTGTCAAAGTATTTCAGCAAGTGTTTTTCTGCAGTCTTTCAAAAATATCATCTAGATATAATTTGCATCCCAATTCTGAAAGGAAAAGCAGCATAAAGCTTTAATTTAGATTCAAATCAATGAATTGACGAAGATGTACTTAAGAAATGTTTTCATTCCGGTAGCGAAAGCAACACACATTTCGTTGCTAGTTGTACCTAACTTTTCCAAATATTTATGATCCAGTTCACATGGAGAGAGGCATGCACCCTTTACTCCTCAATAAACACGTAGTTTTTGCTTCATCTAAGGAGTCTAAACAAGCAATTTTGTTGCGCAAAGAAAAAAAATCGCCCGCCGTCGTCCGCCTTTTCACATTTTGTCAAACCTGCTAACTTCCGTATTTCGTTAAAACGTGAACTGTATTTGACTGGTTGAAAAAAACATTGAACTGTTTGTTGTAATGAGAAACCGTACTTTWACCATAAAAGTTTTATTCGATTTTTTATCGACCTGCGGTCTCGTGCTTCACTGATCTGCTCTCGAATTCTCCCAAACAAACGCCTCGGTTTTCATAGCGCTATGAAGGCAGGGAAAACATGTTTTATTTCTTAACCGATACATGGGGTGCAGCATGCCGTCAAAKAAATACTGGTTACTGCAGGTCTAATTCAGTTATAAAAAAAACAATGTAAAAAGACTTATGGAGTTTGTCGAGGTAGAGATTCTCTCACACAAATACCTTATCAAACACAAAAGAGAGCACGAGTTGTCATTATAACTGCTTGTGTTTTGTTGTTTTTTTAGGACGTGTGAGACGACATGCGTCTTTCCAACTCTGCAGCAGCGCCAGCATACAGGATGAACCTCCTACCTACAGTCCTGACAAGTGGGTCTACATTTGCAAGACTAGCGCTAGTTACGTGACATGCAAGAGTAACGCACTCACTCAAATGGTCACTTGCTCCCCATCTATAAACACCAATGTTGATATATCGTGTTGTAGTATCAAATGCTCAAATTGACCGAATATTATCATAGGAACTATAGTGCTAGGTAACTTGAGAAATTGTACAGACCATATGAATTTGTTGCCTTTTGGGCC